ACTCTCATCTATCACATAGGCTGCATGTCTGTTTTTTTGCAAACACCAACCGCTGAGCGGAGGCGGAGTTAGAATGCAATGTAACTAACGTTACTGACCTTTGTACCGAGTAAATATTACCCACTTTTTGATCTGTAATGCCTTACATTACTGCGTTACAGTAAACACCAATACATTACAGTAAATACATCCCTCCCAACTGTTAGTGAGCTTTGAGGTTGTATTTGTAATTTAGACAGTTTAAATAAAACAGATTTCTTATTAAACTATATAATGTTTTTTATTAAAATCAGCCAAATGTGTAATATTGTGTTCATATGGGGCAGCCATATGTGATTTAGCACACTCACAGCAACACTTTGATTGTCTGCCATGACTTAGAACTGAAGTAATAAAATACTTCTACTACACAAAAGCTCACAGAATGCCGGTATAATAACTAAATTGGGGCTTGTAGATAAAATGGCCCTGATGCCAGCTGCAGAAACGCTTAGCAGAGAGGGGAGTTCAAAAGCGCCCTGTCTGAGGCTGGCCTGTGTGGGTGAGGGTCCAATAGACCCATTATTACATCTGAGTCACGGCTACACACAGACCATTGATTTACAATGAGAAACCTGGAAAAAAATATAAATGAACATTTGGAGCACACGTCTTGTTGCGGCTGTAACTAAAGAAATTCCTGGCGAAAACCCTGGAAAAAACATCTCTATATACATGACACAATACAACAAGTATCTACTGGGGACTTTCAATTTTGGTTCCTTATCCAACACTACGCCACAATAATACGACACTATTCATAATTAACTCATTAAAGTTTTTGTGTCTTCATTCATCTTATTAGCTATGAACCCTGTGTCTGCATGAGTCTAAATAAATACAAATATAAAAATAAAATCTTTTGATTAAAAAAACTATTGTATCTCATTTGTAAAAATGTATTAAAAATATATAGATTTAAACATTTTCTAGCTCACGAATATCTGAACTATGATCCCGGTAGATCACAAAATGTCCCAAAAAAGCAGAATGGAGAATCTCTGGGTCATCTCCAGATCTTCTCCAGACATACAAACACACAAATCAACTCTACTTTGATAGTTTTGATATTTTTACCGTGTGTGGACAACTTAAGTTGCACCTTGTACAAACAGATGGATAACTGAAACAAAAGGACCGGGGGCAGCAGCACCTGGAGGATCTCTTGCTCTGGACCACCAGACCTGTGCACAAACATGCTGGTACATTTAAGCCAGCGGTAGTCACTGCGGATGTGAATGTCATTATATAAATTTGCTATATTGAGATCCATTGAGTTGACGTTTGGTTGATGTTACTGTATTAGTACAATTACATTTTATTTTAAATCATATATTACACCCTATAATACAAAACAAGTAATCCCTGTTTGGATTAGGCCTGTTGTTTGATCCTAAAACTCAGTGAATTTGGGATTATTTTCATACATTTGTCCAAAACAAAGCTCCAGTGAACATGATGTATTTCACGCCGTTTGATTAAAAATACTTTGTTTCTTATTCATATATTTGACAGGGACAATGTAGTCAAACATAGTTACATCATGAAAAATGCAGCTGATGCGACACATACAGAGTGTATAGCTAATGCTAATTTTCAACTCCTGTCCCTGGTTGAGCTTTTCCCTATAGTGCAACACATTAAACATAATGAATAAAATAGGCCTAGCCCTAAAACACATATTTACAACAGTGATATAACGCTAAGACATTCCCCCCACCAATGACAGCCATATGGACAATACACATTCACAATCAAGAATACACACACACACACACACACACACACACACACACACAGAATGCAGAATGACATTTAAATATGTTACAGTCATAGAGTTATCAGAGTCACAAAACCAGTTTAGGTCTGTGTAAGATTCAACAATGAGTAGATTACTTAACAAGTTGACAACTATTTCAATAATCAATTAGTTGTTGATTTCCAGCCCTAGTTTGTATAATAGTAAAACGTCCACAACAGCAGCAGTGGCCATGTTAGAGCCAAATAAACATTTACCCAAAGACAAAGTCACGTCTTTCTATTGAACCGTCAAAACCATGCGGCTGATATTGTCCACTGGGTTTTACACACTACACATTGAAATCAAAATTCAAACTTTAATTAATCACAGTTAAATGTGGAAGGTGAAGCGACGTGCGCAGATTGCAGAAGGCTCCTAAAGCCCAGTCTATTGATACGAGGGGCATTAGAAGTATTGAAGCCTGACCCAAAAGGAGCAGTGCACAAAAGCTTTAGTGAGGCTCTGATTAAGCAGAAACCTGTGTGAGTAATCTCACTCCACTCCAGCTATAGGCGCTTACGGTTCAGAACATTCTGCACCGTAGCTTTTCCCTTACTCACATTTAAGAACAACAACGCAATATTTTACACATATTCAAAAGCACATTTTCCAATGTATGTTCTTATATTGTCCTAAAATTAAATACAGAATGTTCGATTTGGAACACAACAATTGTAGTTCAGACTTTTCTGATGCTTTTAATTTTTCAGAAAACCAGCAACTACAGTAGGACGCTAGTTCTGCTTGACCGAGCATAGAATGTGTGGAATAATGTTTTTTCAAAACAATTATTATTGTCACATTTCAGCCATTGGATATTAAGAAACGTTTGATATTGTATCTGATGTCGAATCTGATCGATACGTTCACATCTGTCAACACCTGATAGGAACCAATGAAGTGAAGCTCACAAAATGGTAGTAATAGAGTTGTTCCACAGTTAATTAGCCTGTAAGCACTGAACAACTGTGTTTGAGTAGGCGAGACTTTATAGTATGCTTTATTAATATCAGCAAAATCTTATTATTTAAATTGAAAGGAAAGCAGTTACTCATGCAAGCACTAATCCCTTCGTTCTTTTTACTTCTGTGACTAAACCGTGCATATATTCTTATTGCAATAGAAAAAGATAAGATAAAGAATCAGTTGTTGTGTGCCCAGGAGTAAGTCACAGAAAACGGGTTGGAGCATGGGCAGCCACCCAACTGCCTATCTGTACCAGAGGAGACGTGAAAGTCAACTAAAATAATTGAATAATGTAACTTAAGTCCAATGCTATGAATCGCTTCCAATATTATATTACAAATTATAAAGACATACTTAAACTTAATCTCAAGATGACACAAAATGACTCTACTCAGCAGCACATTTATTACAGAACAGGTTTATAGCTACAGGACCCGAGAGCAACATACCATACATGTTTTATCACCTACATAGACTCACCTGGCGTTTTGATTCTTATCATTGACTTTTCTAAAAACAGCTGCCTGCCAGAGCACAAGCAATATTCTCAAAAGAATGAAGTGTGGGCTGCAAAGGTGTAAGGATCGGCTCGTTTTTTTCTATCAAAAATTGGGTTATTTCTGCTCAGGGAAATCAAAGTAGGCGATAAGCATTAAGTGGCGCATGTCAGGAGATATGAGCCGAGCTGTACAGTGAAAAGGGAAAAAGATGCTATACCTGTTGTCATAGTTATTTATCTACACCATCGCTCAGTCTGTTACTGTAGACAATAATGGCTGCAGTCTCACGTTCCACTCCCGCCTCTCGGCTTTAGATGATACAAATTAAACTTTCTCTTAATGGCTGTCTGGCAGAGAATCCAGCCTGCTTTGCAATGTTGGCACCTCCTGGTCAAAAAAAAGAGCAAAAAAACCCTTCTTTGGACACAGCCGGGAGCATCTAATATTGAAAAGACAGAGCATGGAGTGTTGTGGCTGGCCTATCAGATGACAGAACACCCTTGCCACATCGCAGCTAACACCTATGTACAGCCATGGTCCTGCTATGACACGTGCTGAAAAGCGGGCTGGATGGCAAGGCATTGATACCTAATGCCTGGGCAGTACAGGCTAGGGCAGTGACATGCGGGCATATTGTTTGCCTTTCTTGGCCTGCTTACCTTTCTGTGTTTATGTATCAAAAGCTACAAGGCCCCAGTGCTGCTGCTATAGATGCCATAAACGTAGCACAGCCCAGGGCACATTGTTCCACTTCTGTCAAAGAAAAAAAAATATTGTGAAGATAATATTTCATAGTGACACAAAGCGGTGGTCATCCATTCGTTCATGGAGTTTAAATACATATATATCAATCTCCTTCTGATACAAGCTGCACCATCACTCCACAAGCATCCATGTCAAGGCTCTATGAAAAAGCAATGGTGATAAAAGGGAAATGCAATCATACGAAGAGCAATAAAAACACAGGCTAAATACATGTGGCAGTTTTATCATTATATGTTATGGTCGATTACATGCAAATAAAAGTGGGCTAAGCAGGAGAATGTTCCTGGTTAATACAGCGCTCGTAAATCTGCTGCTGTTTGTTTACCGTCAGCCATTTGAGCTTTAATGTGTTATGACCCAATTATAACGCTAGCCAACTAGCTTAGCAGCCAGCCTCGCGTTGGAGTAAACGGAACGAGCTAGCAATGGAAAACCTAGCATTTTAGGATTGTCAATAAAATGTGTCAAATTAAACAGTTGCCCCTCCGAGGACTAAAGGTGTATACCACAGTGAGGGAGACTCTTACAGTTCGGCGTTTGTATAAATTTAAAATATGTATAATTGTGCGTGAAAATGGCCTCTCTTATGCAGCGTCGCACATCATTTTACTGCTTATTTTTTCCAAAACACAACGTGGCGCTGCAAGACGGGTTTTACTATAAAAGTCGTGAAATTACGAGGCAGAGTTTATGGTTTGTTTAAAATAGTTCACCCGAATCCATAATGACATTCAGAACAATGACTTAGGTGGCGCTTTATGCTCGTTCACACATTGGTGAACAATAACACTTAAGACTTATGTTCAAGTGTATGCTTTTAGTGGCGAGTTTCGCATGACAGTCACTTCTATGGAGACTGATCATCGCCTAGCTTAGCACAGCGCTACGCAGATCGTGGATGATGGATGCCTGATCAGACTTGTATTTACCTTTGGCTGCAGGTGAAGACGAAGGGCCCTCCGGTGAGCTCGCCCTGTACCAGGGCACCAGCCTGCTGTCCGAGGCGCTTCCACCCGGGAGAGCAGGGCTGGAGCTGCGGGACGAGGACGGTACTGTGTGGCTCTGCGCTGCTACTGAGGAAGAGGAGGAGGAGGAAACACCGCGGGTTGGGCTCTGTTGGTTTCCACGCAGAAGTTGGTAGGGAACCGTGGCACGCATAGGACCAGGCGGGCACCGGGCCGTGCCAGGGGTGCTGATGCAGGAGGAAGAACCAGAGGAAGGGGGCGAGCTGCCCGAGGTGACCCGTGGAGGGAATGAGGGGTCCACCACTGCTGCCGTCCCCGCGGACATTCTACTACCCTACTTTAACAACTTTATGTAAGAGCATTAGTGCAGTTCTGGCTCCTGACGAGGGCAGATGGAGCACGGCAGAAGTTACTTCACATGAAGTTTGTCACGCAGCGCTGTTCTGTTGCAACATACTCTAAAATACAACCTGATACAAAACGTCCACTTTAATCTGAGCGAAATGAATGCGCACTTTCGAAGAGCTTTGTTGTCCAAAACATCCGTGTTTTCCAGAGGCGGGTGGACCACTTTTACGAGTCTCTTCTGATTGGTCGGTCACTTCCTGAGTGAGGGGCGGGCTGAGGGACTGTTTTTTTTTGTTATGATTATGGCATACTCGTGTACTTTACAGATAAAGTATTTGTAAAGTAGAGTTGTAAATTCAACGTTAAATGGACTCATTCAAGCATTATGCAACATCAATGATTATTTGTCTCGTTTTATGTCAATTGTGCAGGGAAAGCACTTTGTGTAGCTCAGATTCTAAATGTGCTATTGACACTAACCAACGGTATAGTGTAAACATGGCCTTCTTTGCTTTGATGGTTTTACCATTCAAGGTGAGTCCCTAAATGATTATATCAGACCAATAGAAAAGGAACAACAAGAGTACACCACATAAGAAGTAGGCTTTATACAACGCTGACAATAGTTGATAATTACAGACAATTATTCATGATCTTATTATTTAAGGCACATGTCGGTTAATTCGTCAGGACACACACAAAGACACAGGTTCATACTAAGTATGGCTGAAGAGACTTCAAGTCTACCAAATAATCACAATACAACCCAAACCACAGACTGTTTTACTAAAAAAATAGCCCTAACCTAACCTTGGCCATGGATTAATTAACTTTACAAAGCATCTGATACTTACAAAACATTAGTAAGAGATGAATCCTAAACTAATCTAATCAAACCCAAAAGTACAGTTTATAATCACTCTCTAAAGTACAGTCTGTCCCTTCATAGTCATCGCCACAGGTGCAACCATGTGGATGATGTCACAGGATCAATATTTGGTGCATTCATCTGCCTATCAGGGATGGGAAAGGAAATTAGAATATTCACAAATAAACACTGCAAAAGCTTAGTGCCACATTAACAGTTTAGCCAACTAAATTCATTTTTTTCTCCCTTTGATGTTATTTTGACCGATCTGTAGGTGGATCACAGAGGAGCAGCATACAGCCCTCCATGTAGAGAAAGTTACTCTAAAGTGTATTTATTTACTGATAACAGGGATGACAGCGGTATATATTTGTATTACATTATTACTGACTTTAAAGTGAGTCTCCAAAACTAATCCTAATACAGATGAAGTCCAGGTTCAAATACATGTCGCAGGAGGCAGACACTTAACTATTAAGCTCTTTGTAAACAATGGGAGAAGGCAAATGTGCAATTAAATATCTGTGTAATGAGTTCCTTCAAACATAAATATATAACAGTAACTAGTTACTTTTTGTAATGAGTGACTACAAACAATGCACTCCTACAAAGCAGGGGTCTCTAACCTTTTTCAGTATAAAAAAAGCAGTAAGCAACTCTTTCAAGCAGCTGGGAGAAATTGTCTGTATAAACGTGAGGTCGCTTAGATGGGCTACAGTTAGATTACCTCAGAACAATTATATGTAAGGAAATACCATGGATACCTAGATAATGGGGGTGGGGGGATTATGTGAATGTGTGTATTTATATTTATGTTGGGAAGGATGGACCCAAGGGAGGGAGGAAAGGAGGGGAGAAAAAAAGTTAAAATGATTACACATTTGTTCTCTACTCTGTAACCAGTCATTTCTGTAGGAAGCGCTACACAATACATATCTGATCAAAAAATAAAGATTCCCTCAGAACAATCTAATATACACTTATTATTGCATGTATATTTTTAAATAAATATTTCGTTTTTTATTTCTTTTACCATTTTTAAAATGTAATCTTCAGCATCTGAAAGATAAATACATAAGGGGCCAACAGACTTCATTTTTGACTGAACCGTCACGAATCAGTTTTGCCACTTTCTCCTGTCATGATCAAACTCCAACCTTTTGATGTAGTGATATCAACACCATTAATGTCAGCTTAGATTAGAAACCATTCCACTAACCCTAAAACACTCACACAAAGATTGTCTTGTATTTGTTCGGCCTGGACCGTCCCATCCCAGGTTCAAACATTGCTGGCCCAAACCTGGACCTCCGTGTGCCCTTCAGATGCTACATGTTGTGAATTACAGAGTTCTCCAGAGTAAAGTCGTACTGAAAGCTGGCCAGGTTGTAGTTCATGTCCCGGGATAGCAGCACGTCTGGGATGAGGGGGAATCCTGCCTGCATGGCGAGAACGTGAGGAGCCAGAGTGAAGGGGATGTCCCCGAGGAAGTCAGGGAGGGCCGAGGTGAGGTCTGTGCCCACGCCTGCAGAGGCTGAGGGGGGTCCAGCAGAAGGCCCAGCGCAGGAGAAGGCCACGGGGATCTTGGGGTCCACCGAATGAAGAGGGAGTGGGCGGGACGACTGCAATAGACAAGAGCGAGGTACAGTAATAGTCGACACAGTTCATTTTTGTGTGGATTTGTTAAAATACTGCTTTCAAAATGTGGCACTTTTGGATAGATCTTTTTTGCCTTAAAAAGCTCTTTTTGAAATGCACCAGTTTACTTGAGAAGCCCATGTGGCCTGCATGTGTAATGCTAATCCAGTCCAACCTTGGAAGCTAAGCAGGGCAAGGCCAGGTTGGTACTATGATGGGAGACCTCTGGGAACACCTGGTGCCAGTGGGGCGGCTACGGCTATAGAGTGGAAAACTGATGTTTCCTTAGCCAAGACACTTCACCCACATAGCCCGTGTGTGCTTGCTTCGGTCAGTCTGCCTCAGGGCAGCAGTGGCTACAGCCATAGTTTACCACCACGTGTATGGAGTCATTGAATAATGCCATGTGGATGTCCTGAAAAGTGAATGACATCCACATAGCTAAGCACAATGCAATTTAGATCAGATCAGATTCATTTATTTGCCATTTGCAGTAAAACCACATTGGAAAAACTGTGCAAGACTACCCCAGTGTGCACCAGACGACACACACCAGAGCTCTTGCCACGGCGCCATGCGACAAACAGTAGAATAAACAGCAGAGAGCAGTAACATACAGTTTCACAGACAGTTGGATAGACACATTGTGCTTTGTATAAACCACGGATTTATTAATATTACTAAAAGTGTTCAAGATGTTTTCCCCTTTACTTAAGTATAAATCCAGATCACCCCCAAAATGTATTAATTTCAACCTGGAAAGACTCTGTGAATAGCTTTAGATAGTCTGTGCTCAGACATACAAACATACTAAGGAAAAGCTTTTTTTTTTAGACGTATGAGCCGTAGGTATGTCTTCCCTCAGGGTCTGACCTGGTGGCTGTCAAAATGCCAGGACGAAATGTGAGATGAGGACGAGGTGCCAATCGTTTGCATGAAGACCAGGTGTAGAGGATTCTGGGAGTTCAGATGTCACGTGACAAGAGAGGATCAACTCTATATAAGTGACGGTGCATGTGTAAAGTGCCATGTGTCACTGTCACTTTATTTAGTCACTTTGTTGACTAAACGGCGGCTGAGTGGATAGCACTCTCGCCTCTCAGCAAGAAGGTCCTGGGTTCAAATCCCGGTTGGACCAGGGCCTTTCTGAGTGGAGTTTGCATGTTCTCCCCGTGTCTGCGTAGGTTTCCTCCGGGTGCTCCGGTTTCCCCTACCACTAAAAATATGTACAATAGGTATGGCATGTGCCTCCTGTACTGGCACTCCCAAAAAAATAACAATTGTAAACCGCTTTGAGACTCCGATGTGCAGTGAAAAGGCGGTATATAAATAAAAGCTTACTTACTTACTACTTACTTTGTTCCAGACCCTCATGCTGCGAACATGTGCAGATGTATACATACATACAACTATGTGTTTCTTGCACTAGAATATACAGTATGTTATACTTTCAACTCAGAGCCAATCATTTCAATCTGCAAAAGGGGTTAACCCCTCCCACCTGTTAACAGAGCTCAATGGAGCACCCCCAGACCTGAGTAAGAAATGTAATTTGTACTATGGTGTGGTACCACCAGGCTATGCTAACGCTAGAGATTTTATAGTATTAGTCTAAAGTGGATGTGCACTTATCTTTTGCTGTGTGCTCCTCATTCCTACTATAACTGGTGATGCAACACTGAAATGTCCCCACTGTGTGACAAATGAAGGAGAAAAATCTTGTTTCATTCCAATCCCATGTCTCCCCTCTTTAGCAAAGTGTTTTTGTCGCCTGGACCTAAAAACAATGGTTGAATCTTCTTTTCTCATATACAGGAGAAAGTGGGAAAATTGGAATTTTGTTCAAAGGTTTATTTAGTTCTTTAATTCAACATGCAATGTAAAACTAATATATGACACACTCATTAAATCCCAAATACTCCCCAAATAAAACATCTCAGGAAATTAGAATATTTTGAGGATGTCTTAATCATCTGCATGTAATCCAGTCTATCATCAGAAATTAATGAACTTTTGAACAAAGCTCAATTTTCAGAGTTTCAGAAATATACTAGGACCATTATTGTTCTTGTGTTGTGATAAGTTGAGCCAGTCCTTAAAAAAATCACTGGAAACAAAAACCCAGTTGACTTTGCTTTACACATTGGATCACTAGTCCTTCATTCTTTTCTGCATTTCCTAAGTCTTGGTACCACAGTGCTGTGGACACTGTACTGTGGGTGAGGTCTGGAGGAGATGTCTTCAGCTGTTTGGAGCCAGAGCGCAGCGATGCACGTCCCTACATCCTGTTTCTCATTAAAGCCAAAACAAAGCTGTAATTCTGCCATGGGGACTCCAGAGTGCTGTAACTTATGCTTCAATGTGAAATGGGACAGACTTTTGTGGAAGAGACAGTTCGTTCCACTTTCCTCTGTGCTGAAGAGGAAGAAGGAATCGTTTTATTACTAAGATAGATCCAGTAATAAAATAGAAAGAATAGTGATAATAATGTATTGTTTTTTACGGTGCTTTTTTGGACACTCAAAGACATTTCACATGTCATTATCAGCACTGTGTATGGAGTGAATGAATAAACTACTACTGTAGCTACAGCTGCCATGGGGCACACTGACAGAAGCGAAGCAACCAGTATGTACCATCGGCCCCTTTGACCACCACCAGCCATTCACACACACACACCAGACTCATTTTAGGCAATGGGGTGAAGTGTCTTGCCTGAGGACACAACAACAGTTTGGCACTTTACAGCCGCAGCTGTCCCACTGTGGCACCTGGTTTTCCCAGAGGTCTCCCATGAGAGAACTAACCAGGCCCTGCCTTGCTTAGCTCCAGAGGTCTAACAAGATCTGGCCACATTTTAAAAGCCAGATCCCGTTAATTATAATTATAAGTTTATTGTCTTTTTGATCCAGTGGTGACGAGACTTAGATTTCTCTCTGCCCAAAATACAAAACATATTCCATGATAGAGATGCCCTCCATAATTATAGAAAATATCCATGAGTTATTAAAGGATGTGTTGATATAGTGTGACAGGTCTATATATTATTATGGGATGGCCTAACGAGCAGCAGGAGTTCCCTGTAAACAAGTGTATCTGTTGTTAGACTGTTCCCAGATCTGCTGTGGAGATGTACTCAGGCTGAAGGGTTTTGCGACAGGGTAATTAAAGGCGGACTTAATGTGGAGAAGATGTTTTTTGCAGGAAATTACTATTCCTGTGCGATTACAGGACGGTGCTTCCTTCGAGCGGCTGGGCTTTCCTACGCTCCTCTGTGAGTGAGTGATGAGAGAGCGAGGGAACCAACCAGTATGCATTTCAGATTCACGCTGCTAAAATCTGGAACAATCTAACATGTAGGGACATCCATCGACATTGGTCAACTCCCCCTACGGACCTATACCTGTGTTCTATATTTTTTTTGTCTTAACTGTTGATTGTCTGATCTGTGTTGACCATTTCAACGGTTTTGTGAAGTCCTCTGAGATAACTAGTTGTGATTTAGGGCTATACAAGGATAAATTGAACAGTCGTCCTGAAAATGTGAGACAGGCTTCTTTTCTGAATATTTTCAAATCCAGGTTCAAAACAGTTCCGTTTAGCTGTGCATATAACTGATGGGTTTTATCTTCGCTCTTTTTAATGTACGGTGATTTTTTATGATATGAATGCCTTTAGTGACTGTCTCCATCTTGTTTTGTTCAAGGCACTGAGTTGCCTTGTGTATAAATTGTGCAACAAATAAACTTGCCTTGGCTTGTATAAGTCTCCACTTTGCATTATATATAGGCTTATTCCTTTACGACAGTGGCGGCTGCGGTCACATATTATACATGGAGCGAACTCTTTTCGGGCTATTGTTTCAGCATTTATCAATCTACAATCCTTAACTCCTTAACTAGGCAAAGAATGCTTGTCCTTATTCTGGAATTAGAACCATTTGTGATTCTCTGATCTGTTGCTGGCGAATCGACAACTTTGTAAAGTCCTCCGAGACGACTGCTGCTGTGACACAAAGAATCAAATTACTATTATTGTGTGTTGCATCTTATACTGTATTACTCTCTGCCTCTTTCTCAAACCGCTCTGTCTTTTGTCTTTGTGCCACGGGACAGAAAACACTACACCACAGAATAAGGGTGTAAACAAAAACTGAGTGTGGGTTGCCGTTTTATGCTTGCACGACAAAGCACTCCCTGGAATCCACTCGAGAAACCCCCTTGGTAGTGACACTGGGCTTCCTCTGTACGCTCGCGGCGCAACGGCAGGTTCCATACATTAATGTCATGAAATGTATATTTATTTAGCGATTTCGTGGATGAATCCAATTGTGCGATGTTCTTTATATTCACAATGCAATTCACAATTTTTTTTTTAAGTTACTTTTTTTTTACCTGTATGTAGAGTCAGTTAACCCTTTAATGGTTTGCGCAACATTGCTAAACACTAATAAACTGAAACTGAAACATTTGGTGGATCACTTTTTCAGTCACTATATCTACTTTAAGCTCGAAACGGAAATCTATCTCTTTGGGGCATCTCACTTGGTTATAGGCACTTTTACCATTAAGCTGTGTCTCAACCATTTGGTAAAGGCCTGTAATTAAAGAAAAACTAGGGGATCAAAATAAAACAAAAGAAAACCTGAAAAAACTTAATTGCACTAATAATAATAACAATTTATTTATTATTATTCCATCCATCCATCCATTTTCTTCCTCTCAATCCATTTCTGGGTTAGGGGGGTGGCAGTCAGAGCTGCACCCAGTACACATAGCACCAGTCCATATTATTATTATTATTAATAGAAAAAGAGATATAGAGACAATATATGGTGAAACAAGTATGAAGGGTAAACAAATATTTCCCCCTGTAACTCTCTATCCTGCCACCAGAGGGAGTGGTTGAAATTGTTTTATCAAAAAATTGAAAATTACACAATCATACAATTGCATAGAACGTCATTGTCGGTGTCTGAGTGGGGGTGTGTGTGCGCGGGTGTGTGTGCGCGTGTGTGTTGTGCCCTTTGTGTTGTGTTGCAGCATTCGTATGAAAACCACTTTAAAATGTGGTTGACTGGAAAAAGCTCAAAGCTGATATAGCTCAAGACTAGCACAAGTGTAGGCGAACTGAACTTACTTGTTGGGACAGAACCTTTAGTAAGGAAGTTATATTCAATACCAAAGATATCATGAAAACATCCATATTTATAATCTTTAAAGAACGTGTTTGTGTGTGTGGAGAGCTGTGCTTCACTGTTTGGTCTTCTCTTCTTCCTGGAATAGAGAGTGTGGGATCTGGTCTGGAGATGTGGCCAAAAATGCATCATGGGAAGACTAGTTGTAGAACCAAACTTGGAACAATATGGATTTTATTACATAGTTACATTTTTTGGAGGTTTGCAAATGAGGTATCTCGGCTTCGGGACACTCTAGTTTGATATTTCGCATTTGTATACATTTTCGACTCAATGTAAAACCTGCCGAGACAAAATGTACTGATAGACACTGGAATTTCTTTTTAACCACTTCAAATATAGAGCATTGTTTTTGTAATCCAGAATCTCTTTGTTTCCATGCAGCCACACTGGCATAGACCAAAGACTGAAAATATTAGATGCATTGCTGAGACAGAGGTTTTTGTACTTAATTCTCGCTTCTTCATCATGCTAAAGTTGGAGATTTTAAACGTATTATGCTAAAGATAGAGATTTTTTACTGCTTCGTTTTATACAAGAGTCAGAGATTTGATTGTATTTTATTCTATTTTATTTTAGAGGAATTATTCATTTATCTTGTGCTGTGTGCTCCTCATTCCTACTGTTCAGTAACTTGTGATGCAACTCTGAAATTTCCCACTGTGCGACAGATAAAGGATCTCTTAATCTAATACTGTTGTCTCCAGTCTCTGTCACTCCTTCTTCTAAAGTCTCTCTTGTAACTAAAGTAAAAATGACAGAAGGGGTGACAGTACGATAGTTAGTCTTCGCCCTTCGTCATGAATAAAAAAGAAATGCCGGACGTGCTGTTTGAAATGCCTGGTCTTAACCCGGACGTTCCCAGGAGCATGACTGTGTGCGGTAGCGAGTCCAGCATGACTCTCGCGCCGGGCTGCGATTCTATCACGATGGTGGGAAAGAGAGCGAAGCATCCACAAACGAGGCTTAAATGAACCTGAGAGCGCTGCTTTTGAGGCTTTGAAGAGTCAGGCCTCTCAGGGAACACTGGTCTCCTCTCTGGTCTCCTCTCTGGTCTCCTCTCTGGTCTCCTCTCTGGTCTCCTCTCTGGTCTCCTCTCTGGTCTCCTCTCTGGTCTCCTCTCTGGTCTCCTCTCTGGTCTCCTCTCTGGTCTCCTCTCTGGTCTCCTCTCTGGTCTCCTCTCTGGTCTCCTCTCTGGTCTCCTCTCTGGTCTCCTCTCTGGTCTCCTCTCTGGTCTCCTCTCTGGTCTCCTCTCTGGTCTCCTCTCTGGTCTCCTCTCTGGTCTCCTCTCTGGTCTCCTCTCTGGTCTCCTCTCTGGTCTCCTCTCTGGTCTCCTCTCTGGTCTCCTCTCTTGTCTCCTCTCTGGTCTCCTCTCTGGTCTCCTCTCTGGTCTCCTCTCTGGTCTCCTCTCTGGTCTCCTCTCTTGTCTCCTCTCTGGTCTCCTCTCTGGTCTCCTCTCTGGTCTCCTCTCTTGTCTCCTCTCTGGTCTCCTCTCTGGTCTCCTCTCTGGTCTCCTCTCTGGTCTCCTCTCTGGTCTCCTCTCTGGTCTCCTCTCTGGTCTCCTCTCTGGTCTCCTCTCTGGTCTCCTCTCTGGTCTCCTCTCTGGTCTCCTCTCTGGTCTCTCTCTGGTCTCTCTCTGGTCTGCTTACCTTGGAAGGCTGAACAATGACATTAGTGGACGGATGTCTGATGTTCATGGTCTGCATCTTCTGCCTCTGCTCTTCTACCGTCTCTCCTGAACAAACAAAACAAACAGTCAAAGTCACTCCACAGTAAATGTAACAGTTCAATGTAAGTCATCCAGCCAACTTCAGCTCTGCCCATATAGGTTACAGAACAGTAGTAAGTGAACAATAATACTATGCTAAAAAAAAAAAGCTTTAGCATAATAAAGAAGCAAGTAAATACTGACATTCGTTTTTGATTATGTCACAAAATCTAATTTGTGACACTAAAAGGGAGCTGGGTAAAGGAACATTTATAATTTATCATTCAGCCAACTTCAGCTCTGTCAAATGAGAATCAATTGTTTTCATTTTAAAGTCATGTCTTACTAGCAATCCCCTGGACAGGTCTAGTGAACTAAAGTGGCTTCTCTTACCAATCCAATTGTTTTAAGACCTTTGATTCTTGAACACAAATTGAATTATATAGTAATTGTATATGAACAAAATAATTATTGTTGAATTCTATCAAGAGATTAACGTTTTGTTGTGAGTCATTCAGGATTGAAACATATATTGTTCTTTTGACCTGACAGTAAATAGTGACTTTCAGTTTGGTCTCATCCAGCTCTTGTTTATAAAATCCAACCGCATCATGTGCTATCATCCAAACAGAAGTGTTGTGTGTTCCTGATGACTTTATCTCGCAACATTTCGCAGCATGTTTAGTGATGTAGATGTTATCAGCTTGCTCATACAGGCCCGATGAAGTAGACCTCTGTCTGATTTGGGGGAAGGCCACAAAGTAAGCACTCTTTATTCATTTATGTCACTGTACTATCTGTGCAATAATAATCTGATAAATGTCAGAATGTCAGACCCTCCGACCCAAACATGTACAGATGTATAAATACTATTATATATTACCTGCACTAGATTTTATAGTATTTTGTTATTTGCTTCTTTATCATGCTAAATTTAAACTAGCTTCTTTGTTATGCCAAAAGTTAAAGATTGTATACTTGCTTTCTTATTATGCTTTGTTTTTGTTTGTTTTTTCTTAATAAATCATTGGTTGTTGGATAAGAAACTTCAGTTAAATATATCATGTAGGAAACAAACACGGTAATATTTGAGAAGTGAAATAAGGTTTGTATCATTCGCAGAAAATGTGGTAAATATGTATTGGTCCCAGCAGAATAGAAGTAGGATATATTTTCCAGGTAACACTACAGCATGTCTCTAGTCTCTCTCTCTGGTCTCTCTCTCTGGTCTCTCTCTCTGGTCTCTCTGGTCTCTCTGGTCTCTCTGGTCTCTCTGGTCTCTCTGGTCTCTCTGGTCTCTCTGGTCTCTCTCTCTGGTCTCGCTGGTCTCTCTGGTCTCCTCTCTGGTCTCTCTCTGATGCAAAAATCTCTCTCTGGTCTCTCTCTCTGGTCTCTCTCTGGTCTCTCTCTCTCTCTCTGGTCTCTCTCTCTCTCTCTCTCTCTCTGGTCTCTCTTTCTGGTCTCTCTCTCTGGTCTCTCTTTCTCTCTGGTCTCTCTCTCTCTCTGGTCTCTCACTCTCTCTGGTCTCTCTCACTCTCTGGTCTCTCTCACTCTCTGGTCTCTCTCACTCTCTGGTCCCCTCTCTCTGGTCTCTCTCACTCTCTGGTCTCTCTCACTCTCTGGTCTCTCTCACTCTCTGGTCTCTCTCACTCTCTGGTCTCTCTCACTCTCTGGTCTCTCTCACTCTCTGGTCCCCTCTCTCTGGTCTCTCTCACTCTCTGGTCTCTCTCACTCTCTGGTCTCTCTCACTCTCTGGTCTCTCTCACTCTCTGGTCTCTCTCACTCTCTGGTCTCTCTCACTCTCTGGTCTCTCTCACTCTCTGGTCTCTCTCACTCTCTGGTCTTTCTCACTCTCTGGTCTCTCTCACTCTCTGGTCTCTCTCACTCTCTGGTCTCTCTCACTCTCTGGTCTCTCTCACTCTCTGGTCTCTCTCACTCTCTGGTCTCTCTCACTCTCTGGTCTCTCTCACTCTCTGGTCTCTCTCACTCTCTGGTCTCTCTCACTCTCTGGTCTCTCTCACTCTCTGGTCTCTCTCTTGTCTCCACTGCAGAAGTGGCACAGTGCTCCAGAATACAGTGTTATTTGTAAGAGGCCTGTTGTTTGAATGAGACGGTCCACCTCTGCTCTTGTGGAACAGTCATGGGCCAGACCTCTTTGTGTTTCAGATCAGTCGGTTCATGTGATCCAGCAGCTTTCCTTCAGTCCGAGAGACGCACCCATTGTCTGCCGCTCTCTCTGGTTACACAGAGAGGCGGACCGCGGGCAAAGGTCTCATGAAGACAAACGAATCAACCTGGCAACTCTGACGCATCCTGCTGTTGAACTTAAGATTTTATCTATTTTGTTTATTCAACTCTAACTATGAAACAGAAAATTTACAGATTAAAAAATTTTCATGAGTTCAATCTAACAAAGCAAAGTTATAGATTTTATACTTGTTTCTCGCTTCTTTGTTATGCTAAAGTTGGAGATTTAACAATATTCTATTTTTAGTATTGAGTTATTGCTCATTTATCATGTAGTGTGTGCTCCTCATTCCTACTGTTCTGTAACCGGTGATGCAACACTGAAATGTCCCCACTGTGGGATGAATAAAGGATCTCTTAATCTTAATCAAGTAATTGACAACTGGTCATTGTTATTGGCAACATGCTGAGGAGAGGTTTAATAACTGAGAATTTTATATGGACAGAATGAAAAGAAAATGTGTTTGCTGATTTTGTTGTCTGATCAAATGTATTTTGAATCAGACAAACCAATGTGTAACAGTCCTCTACAAAGGTACAGTAGTTATCTGCAGTTCATCCAGAGCGATCATGGGCCTCTTGGCTGCATCTCTGATCAGTCTTCTCCTTGTTTGAGATGAAAGTTTGGAGGGACGGCCGGGTCTTGGTAGATTTGCAGTGGTCTGATACTCCCTCCATTTCAATATAATTGCTTGCACAGTGCTCCTTGAGATGTTTAAAGCTTGGGAAATCTGTTTGTATCCAAATCCGGCTTTAAACTTCTCCACAACAGTATCTCGGCCCTGCCTGGTGTGTTCCTTTGTCTTCATGGTTCTCTCTGCGCTTTAAACAGAACCCTGAGACTATCAAAGAGCAGGTGCATTTATACGGAGACTTGATTACACACAGGTGCATTCTATTTATCATCATCAGTCATTTAGGACAACATTGGATCATTCAAAGATCCTCACTGAACTTCTGGAGTGAGTTTGCTGCACTGAAAGTAAAGGGGCCGAATAATATTGCACGCCCCACTTTTCAGTTTTTTAATTTTTTTTTAAAGTTTAAATTATCCAATAAATTTCGTTCCACTTCACGATTACGTCCCACTTGTTGTTGATTCATGACAAAAAAAATTAAATTTTATATCTTTATGTTTGAAGCCTGAAATGTGGCAAAATGTTGAAAGGTTCAAGGGGGCCGAATACTTTCGCAAGGCACTGCATTCTCCAGGGGCATCGAGTGTTGATTTAGTGAATTATAGAAAAAATCTTTAAACTAGAACTATTAAACCAATCTATTTATTGAAAGAATAACTGGCTAACCAGCCCAATTTGTTTTGTACTACCAGAATCATAATAATGTTGACTAAATGACCTAAAACTTCAGAATGGTTCTCATCCATAAGGTCCGTGTTAATGCTGTTAGTCCCTTCTTCTTGCCTGCAGTAAACGTGAGCAGAGCGTCTGTGAGCGCAGCATGTGTGCGCTGGCCCAGGACTCTGCCAAAAATATCACTCTACCCTGTGCCCTGGCCATCTGTGGCCATGCAACTCACACAACACTACAGGCTCCAAAAAGCCTCATGTAAGATGACAATCCATATCTGCTGTGGGGGAAAAAAGGTTGAGATGAATCCAAAACAACAACAGTGAATTTATATGAGAGGATTTTTATCGTGAGGTATTGGAATTTTTTTGTTAGGTTTGGTAATGTGGCAATAAAGTTCAAATCAACAGTTTTTGCCCTATTGGGATGGCTATGAAGTCACTGAAGGCTTCTGATTAAATGAAAGCCTTCAGTGATTGAAGTTTTGAATCCCAAAAGGACATGTACATGCATTGACAGTTCAAAAGATTATTTCATTTTTTGCCCAGCCCCAGCACGCAGATAAGGAGAGGCTTACCTTTCAAAGCAAAAATCACATTCAAAGCAAAAATCACATTCAAAATAGAGTTCTGAAAAATCAAAATATCAAGAGCTTGAAGACACAGATGTTATTGTAGGTCTTGTGGTCTTTAGTCACCAGATCAGCCCAAACAAGTTTTCAATCTTTTATTTGAAATGGGGATCTGAAAGGGGAAATATACAGTGCCTCGCGAAAGTATTCGGCCCCCTTGAACCTTTCAACATTTCGCCACATTGCAGGCTTCAAACATAAAGATATAAAATTTACATTTTTTGTCATGAATCAACAACAAGTGGGACACAATCGTGAAGTGGAACAAAATTTATTGGATAATTTCAACTTTTTTAACAAATAAAAAACTGAAAAGTGGGGCGTGCAATATTATTCGGCCCCTTTACTTTCAGTGCAGCAAACTCAGTCCAGAAGTTCAGTGAGGATCTTTGAATGATCCAATGTTGTCCTAAATGACTGATGATGATAAATAGAATGTACCTGTGTGTAATCAAGTCTCCGTATAAATGTACCTGCTCTTTGATAGTCACAGGGTTCTGTTTAAAGCGCAGAGAGAACCATGAAGACAAAGGAACACACCAGGCAGGTCCGAGATACTGTTGTGGAGAAGTTTAAAGCCGGATTTGGATAAAAAAAATATTTCCCAAGCTTTAAACATCTCAAGGAGCACTGTGCAAGCAGTTATATTGAAATGGAAGGAGTATCAGACCACTGCAAATCTACCAAGACCCGGCCGTCCCTCCAAACTTTCATCTCAAACAAGGAAAGGACTGATCAGAGATGTAGCCAAGAGGCCCATGATCACTCTGGATGAACTGCAGATAACTACAGCTGAGGTGGGAGAGTCTGTCCATAGGACAACAATCAGTCGTGCACTGCACAAATCTGGCCTACAAAGTATTAGCGCAAGGGGGCCGAATAATATTGCACGCCCCACTTTTCAGTTTTTTATTTGTTAAAAAAGTTTAAATTATCCAATAAATTTTGTTCCACTTCACGATTGTGTCCCACTTGTTGTTGATTCTTGACAAAAAATTCAATTTTTATATCTTTATGTTTGAAGCCTGAAATGTGGCGAAATGTTGAAAGGTTCAAGGGCCGAATACTTTCGCAAGGCACTGTATCTGTGGAACGATGAGGTGGGTTGTCACTTCGCAGAACTGTTATGCATCTCTAACCAGATCTCGGTGCATCATTGTGGGACAGGAAGCCAATTTGTTATGGTCATAGGATGTTGTGAAATCAATGCTGTTCAAAGTGGGTCACACAGTGCTCATGAGACCTCATCTTTCCTGTATTACATTCTTCAGGACACAATACTTTTCAGAGATCTACAAAAGATGTACAGATATTTTAAAGCAGCTAGACTAGATCTTTTGTGCTCAGTGTGTTACTTTATGTCCTTTATTTCCATATGTATAACGGTTTGAATTACTTACTCCAGAGATGGGGACACGCAGATCGGACTCAGACTCAAGTTGGATTTAAGTCACTATCTTTTAAGACTTGCAACTCATCTGGAACTAGTCTCCTTAAGACTCGACACTCTACCTCGTCTCCTAAAGACTGGACTCTCACTTTCTCCCTCATGCTCCTGTCCTGCGTCATTTAGGGTTATTCCAAACCTACATTTCTATTTTGAAAATACAGGAGCATCTCTTCACTAAACTCCCTAAATTAAAGTTTGGGTACCTGATTATTATTATTTTTTTAACAGAGTACATTTTGTCTGTCCAAACAGCATCTCTGGAGGTACAGTGCAGTTAGTTTTGATCATTTGAAATCAGCAGCATGGCATTGAAAAATCATCTTTTAACAATTTTTAGATTAACTATGAGACTCAGTCTTGACTTGGACTCTCTGACTTACCCACGATAACAAAACCGCCGTCCACTTCCTTGTCTGATGGCGATTTCTTTGAGTCCTTGCGAAATCCAAATAGATTAAACATGATTGCAACCTGTTGATATAGCAAAGACATAAAGAATAAAAGAGACTTGATGGTAGTATACGGCTGAAGCAGTCATACAATGCTCATCAATAAATAATATATCAATTCATAATGTACGTTACAGCTGTTACATCTAAAAATACTTTTCAATCAATCATCATGGAATAAAAAATCTCCCAAAACGCAATGATGAGGAATCTATCGAACAGAATATTCTTTTCTTGGCGTTTACCTTGTTTTGTGCACAAAGAGGCTGTCAAAGCTAAATTAATCCTTTATTTCACGTAGATTCGGTCTTGAAAGTAGAACACAAATCACTAGTCACATATTTCGACAGTTTAACGCAGAATCTGTCACTGTATACGCCTTAAACACAGCGAAATGATGTGGATTACATGACCGAGTGACTTTCTGTTGTTTTGATGCCTACGTCACCAGTCCGTGTAGAAACAAACATGTAAAAAGAACCGTTCCGCTTGCCATAATTTTGTAGCTGTCATGTATTTCTCTTAATATATACAGTCTATGGTATTTCTTGACTTTACTGCCGCACAAGTTGGTATCATTACAATAATAGTTATTCACATTTCAACGTAAAAAATGTAAATAACTATTGTAAAATAAGAACAAAAAAATACTATATCCTAAAATGTAACGTTAAACTGATTTAAATCTCTAGCTTTAGATATAAGAAGATAAACGAGCCATTTAGAAATACAAAAATATACAAAAAAAGTGTCAAAATTAATAATAGTCAAGTCAAGTTTTAATTTGATGTTGTTCTCATTCTGAAATAAAACTGTTGATTGAAATTGATCGATAGATTGAACTATTGATTTATAGATTGATTATAAGAAGTATGTGAATTAGTTATTTATCTTGCTGTCAACGTTTAATTGCTATTAGATGATTGAATAATGTTATCATTTATTTAAAAAATAATAATTATTATTATGATAAAGTAATACTTATTATATTACACATTTGTTTTGGTCATAGTTGTCATCAAAACGGAACCATTGTGTGTTGTGTTCCTGGGGAAATATTTTGACGCAACTAAAACGTTCGTTTTATATTTATATTCCTCCGGTTTAACACCGCCCAGTTTTACATTGATATAATCCTTACCCCGCCCTACTGGCATTACCGCCTAAAAAACCTAAGCGCACCCAGCCCGCTTTGGCGCGTAGTTTTTGCACTTTCTTCCGCGCGCGCCACTTCAGCACCACATCAAGATGGCGAACATCATCGACGTTCCGAAGCCCAGAATAAACTGTTCCATGCTCTCACAGTACATTAACAAGGCCGTGTGCTTTGTAGGGAAAGTAGAAAAGGTTGGTATGCATGACTTGAGCTCGGTTTTGGAAGTGTTTTTGCTATGTATTCTTTGTTTTCTAGGTCCACCCTTCAGGAAGAACCTTCACTGTTTCAGATGGAGAAGAAAAGACGGCTACAGTGGAGCTTAACGACCCTGTAAGTGTCCTTTGTACTGATAACATTGAGGTTATAGAGATTGTTTCTGAACGTTTGGACGTCTCATTTTCTATTTGACTGTACTGGGACACGTTGTCATAATTTTAGAAATGCATTTAAAGCGACACATAGGTGTACTTATTTCCCATTCATTTATTGCATACAGCAAAGTACTGTATGTAAGCGGTGTGCATGCCGCTGCAGTAAGATTAATAAATATTTCCCAGTCTGACTTGGTTGCAGTAAGGTACACATATACACCAGGAAACAATAGATATACAACAGAATTACAGTGATCTGTTTAAAATACCAATGACAAACGGGATATAAGAGTTCTTTAGATTGATTAGTCCTAAATTTAGTGGAGCTTTATCTGTGACCAGAGTCAGAGTAAGCCTAGTTTATACTTGCGTGGCGTGGCTTACGTTAGCGGTTGCGGTGGACCTACGTAAGCACAATTGATGTTATACTGGCGCGTTCCCCTTACGGAGTTTTGAGGAGAATGTTGTAATCCCACAACAAACCACATGAGGGCGATCACACAGGAGCGGTCCCATTTACGCTGCTACTTTGTCCTCTTCAGAACAACAATAGCAAACAAAGCTGTTTGAGCTCATTACACGTGTTTCTACTGTAGGTTTATGTGATAGTTTTATGGATTCATTATTTTATAAGTCATTTCAACTGTGATGCTGTGAATAAAGACACAGTTCTTGTTGGAAACATAGTTATTATTAAATAGTTTTCAGCACAAACAGCAAAACAATAATAGTGGTAAATTTCTGAGACAAACATGAAGGATTTACGAGTGCAGGAGGAAAGCAACAAACGCAGCCACGATTCAAACAAGACAGGAACAGTGCAAAACAAACGACTGAACAGTTTATAAGTTATATATCTGTTAGATATAAGTTATATATATGTTAGATAGTCCACAGTCTCCTGTATATCAGGCTCTGAGCCCAAACTGCTTTTCCTTCGAAGCACAAAGCTCTCTGCTCCATAGTGCCTCGTCCATTGTCCCTGCTGCAGCCGCTTCATGCTTCCTTCCAATACACACACACGGACCAATCATAGCGGAGATTCCTTGCGGCGACCCTTACGTAGTTAGAAAATTTTGATGCTGCGCGGTAGGCGACGTAAGGGCCTTGCGGTGACCAACGCGTTGCGCAAGTGACGTCACGTCACCTCCGTAAGCTCTGCGCAGCGCGAGTATACACTAGGCTTTACATTGCTTTATGTAACATGTTTCGTTGTCCCAACAGAAAGAGTATTAGCGTAAAATAGTCGTCTAGTAAATAGACTAATTCAGATCACAGAATCCTGGCGTCTTTGCATCCTTGTAAGAAAGAGCCTTGACTGTTGACACTCGGAGCTGAGAGTTGGGTACCCCAGCTGGCTATGTGGCCACATTATCAATAAACCATTAAAGCTGCAGGACTTAACTTTGAAACCATTTTGCATTTATGCCGCTCTTTCTTCATTCTCAAAACAGCTTAGTTTATCACTAGTTTTCAAATGCATGTTTTTTTTTTTTTTTTTACTTCTCACTTCTTTAGTGAGAAGTATTGTCCCTGTCTTTTCAATTAGAGTAATCAGCAAACCTTGAAGTGATTGTCTGGAGTTTGTCAAAGAGAGAAAGAGGTACTTGATTTGAAAAAAAACAACGCAAGCTCCCTCCCCCTTCCTTTCTGATTGGTCTACACCTGCGTTTCTGTAACACTTTGAAATGTTAATCAGAGAACACATTATACATATACATTATTAATACACATGCACAGAGGTTTTCAGAATTAATTGTGAATGTTTTAATGAAAAAAATGTTTTTATGCACAAAAAGCGATCGCGGCAAACCAGGAAATGCTATTATTATGAATTGCACATTATAGGACACATCTGCAGAGGATCTGATTATGGATATAGGTTCAGTATATACATAAGTACCTCAGCGCAAATGTTCAGAATTCTTTGTTCAGTTTTCATGTAGTTCCAGAGCCTAATAAAGGCTTGATTCGGCAGCTCCGCGAAAACAAACAACTGCGCATGCGCGCAGCTGCGAGCATCAGCGCCGATGATTGACAGCCCTTGGCATGACTCGATTGGTCAACCTTGACGGCACCGTAGATTCTGAACTATGGCTAAGAGCAGGGAAGGCGGGACTTACCCGTAATATTAGAATTAATAAAATGACTTATTTTATCAACATTTAAGGCCAGGAGGTCAATTTAACACATTTCCTAAAATTTGTAATTCATTTAGAGTTGCAGACTTACAGACTATCACTTCAACATTCTAATAAGATAAAGACTGCATGTTGTGGTCTGATTTGTTCGCAAAATGTCTCAAGATTGTTTCTTTTTGACATACGCAGTGTTTTGATGAAACAAAAGTTAAATAAAACATGTTCTTGGCCTTAGTCTCTTGACAACTAAACTAGTTGAATGATTAATTCGTTTATTTTTTAAATCAATTACCTTTTTACAGCCCTTAGGAGGACGGATTATGTTAAATTACATTATGAAATTGTGAGGCAAGGTGCTGCTACCAAATCTATTGAGTGTATGCATAGTTTATAGCCACATTAGAAACGTATCATTCCTTGTGCAACAACTCTTGTTTAATGATGCAACTCTTGCTTATACTGCTTTCCAAATTATTACTGATACATTTTCACTGACATTGATAAACGCCTGAGGGGGGAACCACACTCTCACTAGCTTTGTTGCATGTTTTCTGTGGTTATTGAAAATGTAGTGACCATAATATTATGGCGTGTGTCCTGCAGCTGGAGGAAGAGCTGAGTGGGGTGGTGGAGATCATCGGACTAGTGTCTAACAAAGGAGTCATCATGGCCTCTTTATACAACCTGCTCCGAGAAGATAAAGGCAACACGTTCGGTGAGTCTGTAAAACAACAAACATTAAACATGTTTAAGGCAGCACAGCAATAACGTACCTGAAAGGCTTTGTATGTCTTATCTCACAGACTGGTTTGGATTCTGCATTTCACTCCTCAGAATCACTAATGTCAACAATCTACTTTGCTCGGCTCTAGTCTACACAGTTGTTACCGATATGTTTTAGTATCTGGTACCGTGTCCTGGCAACCTACTGACAAAATATGTATTCATTCTTCCAGCAGCACTCTGGCCAATCTGTCAGTTAGCACATTTTAGTACCAGCTCGACCTGAATAGAAACAGGGCCAAACATGGACTGAAAAAGAACCCCTTGCTGGTTAAACAGGGCCGGTAGAAACTCCTTCAAATGGGGTAAGGTTAGGGTAAATTAGGGCTGGTGGAAACATGGCTAAGAGTTACATGAATGTAAAAACATGTACATTCATGTAACAACAAAAGTCTACAATCTGAAAATTAAAAGCTCAAGGGACGTCAGTGTCAAGGGAATACAGGAGTTATTTCTGTAATAGAATGATAACTTTGACTTTTAAGCAATTTTCCCAAAAATATATTGAACTTTCTATCACAAACATTAGAGAACTTGTGATGTCATTGGCACGCATCTCTTAAGGTGTTAAAATATCTATACAATAGAAACACAACTCTCTCCCTATAAAGCAGTATGAAGTAAGTATGTTTTACTTTGTGTGTGTGTGCCTCAGATTTGCAGCTGTATAATGAAGCACTGAAGCTCCTCCATGACTTCCCCCAGCACTACCCTTATGAGGCTGCTGCCAGTGGATAAAAACCCCTGCCACCTTTTTCACTTAAATGTGTTTGTACAAAGTTGTTTCTAAATAAAGTTGATGCTTTTGAATGCTACACAATTGTCTGACTTGTAAGTGCATGTGTTGGCCACAAGATGGAAGCATTGTCCACAGTCAAGGCCCTAGTATTCAGTCTACAGAGTGGTTTACATGCAAGGCTTTAGTTTGATTCAGAACTCTTCATGAATTATATCATAGATGTTCAAGATCATTTCATTAGGCTTCACACGTGTCATCTCCTGAACTAACTTTGACTTTGTTCATTCACGTACATCTAAAAGGTATGGCAGATTTCCACCAGCTCTATAAGCCTGTGTTTGATGTTGCATGAGGAGAAATAATCAAGTTATAACTAGCTCATAATCGAATGCCATTGCCAACGTATCACCTGTCAAATAATTCAACTCAATCTTATCTGTCACATGGGAAGCGTAGGGGAACTACAAACTCATGAACAGGTTTTTAATGTTGGATAATTTTTGAGATTGTTTAATACACTCATCTGATCCCACCCTGGTCGTCTTATCGGGTGTCTTCTTCCCACATTATAAGGAGTTCCTCTGACTTTGTAGGAACCTTGGAAGTGGCCAATGGAGAACACTGAGCTTGACACCAGTCTTGACACTGAATTCACGAATCTATCGATGGCAAAGATGATGCATTGACTGACAGTGAGCCCTGTATTATATGCCAAACTGAGGCAAGACTTATCTTTGCATTAAGTGCAAAGGCCACTTTGGGTCAGTTAAGAATACATTATAGTGAAACATATACAAAAATAATGTTTGTGAATATATTTGTGAAGTGTCCGCTCCTCCAGTGACCCCTTAAGTCACAAAATAATTTCAACCGCCATAAATGAACTATTTTATCACTTAATTTGTTCACTTTAGACTGAAGGGTAACGGTCCCTGTGCAGGGCAGGACAGCAGAACACTTTTTGCTGGGTTTTTCTATGTTCATCATAAATTAGATCAACAAACTATATTGTTGTAGTTAAATATTTAACTGGATCAATGGTGTTTGAACTCTCGGTGTGATGAAAATGTGTTTTTGACTTAATATTGTAAAACAAGTACATTATCATCCCTGTAACATATCATTTTTGAGAAACTTCCACTGTAGCTTACACTTGCAAAGTGCATACAACATGTAGAAACCTATAGAGATGACTTAAAGGGAGTTGTCAAAGCAGCAGCAGAAAGGGTAAAAGGATCCGTTTGAACATTATTATTTGATTATAAGAACAATGAAACTGTGGCGAGCATGTAAAGCACCTGCACGAAACCCCAAAGTTGGCAGTGACAGATCGAACGCTCGGTTGGAGAATTACCCTCTTTTTAGGAGGTTGCAGAATAAATATCATTGCAGTTTGTTCCACACTTTGATGAGACGGCTGTCCACTGGATGATCCATAGTGACACACTGTTATCATTCCAGGCATTATTCACTTCTATTTCACTGTAGAGTTAACAAATGTTATGTTTGGATCCACATCAACATCAATACTCTCAGTCAACTTTGTGGAGTTGAAGCTATGACTTTTCTTCCCCTCTCAAACTAAATGCCAAACTTGCCCCTGGTTCCTCTGGCTGTACCAGGTGCTGGGGCAGAACAGGGACTACTGTATAGTTCTTGGTGCTGGTATGTTCTAATCGTGTAAGAGCCCATCCATTCAAGCTGATCTGTTTTCCAAAGCCCTGGGCACAATGTGACAGCACTTTGATTTGCGAGCGGCAAGTTAAAAACTGACAAATGACTGGTGGATACTGTGTCTTTGGGGAGTGCAGAGCGGTGAGGAAGTGGATCTGTATTATGTTATATATCTTTGTCACCTTTTCAAATGTGTGAGTGATGGTTATTACAAGACTAAACACCACGATTTAATGATTATTCAAAATCTGTGAAAAGTCAGGGAAAATGTTTTAGGATTAAGCTTATTATTGACAACGTATTTAACTTGATTTTGTGCTCTTGAAATGCCCCAGGAATGTCATATTTTAAAGACATATTATCAATAATGGTTGTTTTTAATGCCCTGTTTTGAAAGCTTGTAGTAAAAGCTTTCTACAATTAAAGATTGATTAACTGATAAATCGAAGTCTAAAACTAAACATACTTCGTTCAAGTTTTAAAAATAAAGGTTGTTCTTTGATTTGTTTGTGTTTTGCTTTCACCAGGCTCTAATTTTGGCAAAGAACAATGCATGAAACAAAAAGTTAGGTAACCCAGCTTTAATTTGGTAAAAAACAGACACCTAAAAATCACTTTGAGAAATGCATTCAATTGAACTTACAGTATTTGCTAGACAGTTAACTTCACCTGTTCATATAAACCGCTTCATCTACTTTAACAATTGAAAAAGTTTGTTTTGTCCACACTTAGACAACACATTTTTGATGTAATGTAACACTTCACTCCAACTGTAACAACCGATAGACGACTGTTTTTACTTCTACTACTAATGAATACTGATGAGGTGTTAGCTTCCATATCAAGACTCATTCACCACTTTTGACAATAAACAAGTGTTATGGAGCTACTAAAATCTGATGGAGTCAAAGTAATAAGTCCATTAACTCTGCTTTGACAACAGCCCTGTGTTCTTCCTCTTTTCCTTGTGTCTGCGTTCTGCTGTTCACATAAACATACTCGACAGTTGATAGCGCTGTGTCAATATTCTTTGCTGCACCTTGGGGATATTTTGCAAAAAAAGGAACATGAAAAACAGTTCTTAACTCTATTTTCTTTGAAGACTTGCCCGTGTGTTGATTCTAAAACCAACAAAAATCTGTATAATGCATACAATCGCTCTGAGTGTTGTAGAAATATTTAGACATGGCACCTACAAACTGTAAAAATATAAGTGGTGTCTCTAAGATTTGAGTGGATTCTGTGAAGCAGCAGTCCTGTAGCTTGGGCCAATAATGTCTAATCGTCTATTTTTTAATAACGTTTGCACAGACAAGTATCAAAGTAATACGGTCTACATACAGGGACTGCAGATGGAAATAAGCTCTGTAGCGCTCATGGTCCAGGATAAGGCAAACACATCACATAAAACACAAAACAAGACATTTAATCACAGCAATAAGCCTCAGAGCAAAAAGCTGTACCGATGTCTCCACTGGTGCTGCGTTCCATTCGTCAGGCTTATGATAATAATGTTTCATTGCTCTGACAGATAAAACCGTACATCAGACATTGCCAGGCTGCCTCGAATGTCCTTATTCTTGCGGACACAAACAAAACGCTTGCACGCTCCCATCTTGGCCTCCTCAATAAAATGTTCAAGCAGTCGTTGCGCAATATTGCAACATTCTAATAAAGACTAAACTAAACTAAACTATTTGTACTTTGGTACATATAAGAAAGAGTTAGATTTTTTAGCTGTAAAAAAACAAAAGAAGAAGGTTGAATTCTGTTCCAGTTGTGTTCCGGTTCGTCAATCAATCAATCCTTTATTATCGCACACAGATGGAGAAATTCACTTCGATGAATAAACATCAAGGCTGGCCGCGTACTCTAATTTTCCGCGCTCCTTATGACAGTTGATAAAGAGTTAGTTTTGCTTTTACGATACAATGAAATGATCACAATTGTATATAATATAGCATGGATTATTGCAATAACGGTGACATCAGTGTGTTGGTTGGGTCCTGGGCGTGGGCAGAGAGCCACCACGAGCCCAGGGCCAAGGGGAAGCAGCTGCCTCCTCTGCAAGTCCAGACTCACACTCTATACATTTCATCTGCTCCTGGTCTTCTGCAGGAACACCAGAAGTCAGTCAAGTGATTCTGTCCAACCAGGAGAACCTCACATCCTCCACAGCCAATCACATGTGTTTGAACCAGTGGGGGCGGGTCCCGACTCAAAAAGGTTTGTGAGCACGTCCGGTGACATACTTATAATCTGACTACTTGCCTGTGGTGGCGTACCCGGAAACAGAATTATCCAAGGAATTCTCAACTATTCAGCGTTATTTTTGTTCATTTACTTTCTTTACTTTCATTTTTATGTCATTTCATGTTTCATAACGTGAAAAAATATCTATTGTAGAGAATACATGGTGAATCAAACTTTTCGATTTGCAATCTGCAGTGCCTATTTTTAAATCCTCAAAAATGTAACTATGTATTAGAAACCATTGAACTATTTCCTCTCTACTAAAACAGTGTTCACAATCATGTATTTTTAACCCTCTGTCACACTTTTTCAGACAAAGAAGTGGAAAAGAGATGACCACCCGCACTCGGCCAATCAGCTCTCAGCCCAAAGAGTACATTATATCTGGCATGCACCTTCTGTATGGCAACCCTGCTCCCATCTCTGTGTGGAGCGAGAGGAAAATGAAAGGGTATATACATTTATTTATTTTTCTTTTCTACAGCTGGAACAAACAAACAGCATTAGCCAAGAAACAGTTACCTCAGCTTTAAAAACAATAAAATTAACAGTATATTAAAAGCCACGGAACATAACCAAACATTGATTGATGTATAAAAGCTTGTCTTTTTGTCGCTGGCATGCACGATGTGGGTAATGGTCTTGTTAAGCTGAAGTCAAACAGGCCGCCATCAGAATGAGCTCTTTACTAGACAGTCGAGGAGTAAAGACCTGTTCTGCTCTGCACAAAGAATTTCACCCCAGTATAAGAGACTTCTAACAGTCATGATCAAAGACTGTCACGCAGGATTTCAACACGTCCATCAAAGAAGAAGAAGAAGGTGAGAGAAGAGGACAAAGTCAGCGGCAATGGGAGATGTACGCGGTCCAAAATACTTGAATACCTTTATTGTCGCCAGCTCTTGTATGCTCCAAAAATGTCGGCAATGTAATGTAGTTTATATTACCACAAGTTTACAAGTGAGGCCTATAAGTCAACAACCTTTAGTTTCTCATTAAATGTAGCTTGTGCGGTTTATAGACAGGTGCGCTTAAAGTAGCAATGTGTATGGTTTTCATGTCAAGTCATCAT